TGTTCAATAAAATGTTCAATCAATCAATCAATCAAATATATATATGGGTGTGTGTATCAGATATCTGCAAAGGTATTTTTCATTGTAGTGGTAGCGCCACCTGTTGGCTTAAGGAAATATGTGATCATTGTTTTATATATTTCTCCTAGTGGGATAACCAGGTCGACCACATAATTGCACGGAAGAGTGTTGGCTTGAAAGGCTTTTCAAGACGTGAAATGCTAAGTTTGCCAATAAAATGTTGTTCTTGAGGGTCTGAACATCCGCAAAAGTTCATAAAACTTAGTTTTATTTATTTATTGTGCAATTAAAAAAATAGCTCAGTGGCACCCTCTAGAAACTTTTAAATAATCACCTTCTGTTGTTACGTTGCACTTGGATCTATGAAAAATTCGTGGTACACACTCTCGTCCGTATAACAAATGTACATATGCGCGTACTTCTTATTCATTAGTTTTGCCGCTTTTTCAAAATATCAGAATCATCTTTATTGGCCAAGTATGTCGAACACACAAGGAATTTGTCTCCGGTATAACACGCTGCATTAGAATCATCATAAACAAGGACATGACAAATAGGTATGGAAGGACATTTCGTAATGTAAGTGAACCGTAGTGCGGTGGTGCCACCCAGTGACAACTGTGAGACAATGTGCAAAGTATCAAGCAGAGCTAAAGTGATCAGTGGTAGAACACAATACTATGACAGTTGTACAGTTGGTGCAGAAAATCATTGAACCATATCCAGAATCAGCTGCGCTCAAAACACACATTTATGCTCCAGAATCTCCCCTTATGTGCTTGTGCTTGTAATTGTTGACTCCGCACACTGCCGGAGTCAGGGTTTACGTGCTGATTTTTTTTTTTTCTGTTGACCAATTTATCAAAGCCATTTTCAATTGGTATGGATCCTGTGTCTATCACAATACATACTGATACCTGTACTCAGTGCAACACTAATTTAAATAATGTTTCACTTAAAATAAGTTCTATTATTTAGTATACTCCAAAATGCAGTTTTTGCTGACAAATTATAAATGGATGGAAAAAAAAGTCTCATTCAACTCAGAACGGCTACCAAAAATCTACCAAGCCGTAGTATAATAACTGAGTATGGAGCGTACTGTGGGTGAACTCTACTGTCCCACCCGAGAAAGCACCATTAACACTGACATTGACAAGTATACTTGTCTATTTATTTATTTATTTTTAATAGGGATGGGTGGGGGAGCGTCTGATGCTACTTTCATGTAAATTTCTAATTTGGAAACAACTTTACTGATGTACAACCACCAGTAGATGTCGTCGATCCCCCATTTTAGCTATCAGCTGTTTGTGAGCCCGCAGGGAGAAACTGCTGCATATTTTGCAACATGCCCTTTTTCTACTGGCGATTGTAAAACGATGGAAAGCCAAGATCAAACTTTTTTTTTTTCCTGGTGAAAGAAGTCTATTCTTACATTTGGTAGTTTTTTGCTGTACTGTACTGTATATAATCAAATGCTCAAAAAATGCTCTAAAATAGCTGGCAGTGAATGAGTTAATGCTAAAATATGCAGTTTATGTCGGAACAAATGCTGCTTTCCAAGCAGCATCTTTTTCATGAACGTCTCTGAACACAAAGCCAATGCCTGTGCCCTGACGGAAAATGTGCGACCCATGATGAATGCAAGCTACGACAATGGAGTGATGCCAAATGACTGTTGATCTACAAGTTATACCTCAAGCGGGAATGAAAGAATTCCACTGACTAAGCTTCAATTATCTCAGGAAATATATTCGTCACAATTGGGAAATTTGCAAAGTATGCCTGAGCTGACATCAGAATGATCTTTTTACATCTTCATGAATGTGTGACTTACCCGTGTCCATTTGTGTTTGACTGGCAGGTTTAGATGCTCGTGGTTTCCTGTTTGGGCCTCTTCTTGCCCAGCGGCTGGGAGTTGGTTTTGTCATGGTCAGGAAGAAAGGAAAACTTCCAGGGGCCACCGTGTCTGTGGCATACAATTTGGAATATGGGAAGGTACTGACAACGCATGCACACGTCCGATACACAGCAGAAGTTACACTTTTATATGCTGTTTAACGCTGTTGAATGAAGCCGACATGAGACACACTGTGAACTTACATTTTCCACCTTGATCAAAGGCCCTTTGGACACCTGCCAAATTCTTAATCACTCTTCCTGGCTACTCCATAAAGAACCCCTTTGATGAATTTTAATTGGGCATGTCAGAGGTGCCGCTATGTCATCTTAAACAGTGTATCACATTTTCCTCATGCACCTTTTTGGGTACAGTGAAACTCGTCTACAACGAAATCATGTTTGCAGCAAGAAATTTTTCACAACAGGGGTTTTTCACTGTAGCAAATTTGATCTCAGATGTAAACACACACACACACACACACACACACACACACACGCATGTGTACTCTTTATTTTTATTCCAATAGTGCATAAGTATGAGCATAAACTTATTTGACACTTCATATAGTCAGTGTAGAAAGAAAAAATGGGAAAGAAATTGCGAAATTTATGATCCGCATTCACTTTCACTTAGATCAATTTCTTGGATAATGTCTTTTATTTTGCTTCCTCCGTCTTTCATTTTGATCACTTTTACCCTCTTTTCCAGCGTCAGAGCTCTTCTTGTCTTACCTGCTTGACATCCAAAGGTCCGTTTTGTAGCCATTTTAGCAATGCAACGTTCTTGCTGCGTCTGAAACTAACAATAACAAATACTTCCCGGACTACTGCGCATGTGTAAACCAGTGTGGTGGTTGCTGTTGCCGTTTCCGAACGAAGCAGTGGAGGTCGCTGTTGGATTAGACTTTGTTGTCGTGAATCTCATCGCGAGGCAAGAGCAGAGAAAAAGACTTCGTATAACGCAACAGAGGTTTTTTTCGTTGTTTGGGGGACATGAAAATGGGAATGGTGTTAATGCATGAAGATTTTTTTCACACTAGGGGGTATTTTCGCCCATGTAGGTTTCGTTGTTGAGGAGTTTCACTGTACTATGAATTAGGGTTGAACAATTACGGAAAGTAATCGAATTGGGATGTTTTCCAAGGTTCTTTTCAATTATTTGTTTAACTTACAAGCAATTAATTCATCTTATTCACAATAAACAGTATCGGATCTAATACAGATGATAGGATATTAAGGCACATGAATCATTAATATGAAAGGCAATGTCGCCTTTTCCGTGTAATGTAATGGTCTCAAAGATCTCTTAAAAGAAAATTGGGAAGCAAACGGTATGAAGACGGAGGAAGAGACCAGGCGGGTGCGGGATAAAGTTGTGGAGACGTTTAAAGATTAGCCCTCATATTATGTTGAAAATAAATCACATTGATTATGTTGTGGGTCATTTTGACCCGTACTGTAAAAATCCACACAAAATAGTCAAAAAACAGGTTGCACCAGTAACAACTTTGTTTAAGATGATGTAAACATTTAGAAAAGAGACACACAACAGATTTTTTATCCCAACAGTATATTTAAGAACTGTTTAGTTGAATGTTTTCCCTGTTATGTTTCTTTTTTTCATTTAAGTTTTCTGAGATTTTCAGTGTTTTATCTACAAAGTATTGCACTGGCAGTTGTATGTGTGCTGTCAGATTGTCAAGTCCCCCTTTGGTGGCGTTGTCGTCCAGGATCATTTGTGGCTTCATGTCTTCTCTTGTGCTCAGAGATGCATCTGTGTGCATTGTGCTCATTACAGGAACATTTTTATTTTCTTTGGGCAGTATGAAACAACTGCTGCAGTGAAAACAAATACTGAGGAATGCAGGGGTCTGCCCTGCATCTTCAGAATTTCACCGGGAATTTCTGTCTTATTTCTTATGACTGTTGCCAACATAGTCAGCTTTGTCTCCTGAACTTCATCTCCAAGGCCGTATATTGTAAAGAAGTTATGACTTTGCACTCATCTTCAGCACCACACGCATCATCTGAATCTTCTCAGATGATCCTCCAGGTAGCTTTCCAGTATGCACTTGCATATTCCATGCAAAACTAGATTTTGCATCACAGGCTGCCCACATTTTGATGCCATACTTGCCAGAAAGATCCTCTGTCTCTGAAATATCTTCCTCTGCATTACTATCCCCGTTCGAACTCTGTGATGAAGCTTCTTCAGCTGTAAATTTTCTGGAGCTCATTTTTGGTATGTTGGTCAAAGAAATGACATGAGAAGAGTGACGAGTCAAATGAGAGAAAGTTCTTGCTCTACACACACCTGGGTCTCTGGCAGTCACTGAGGAGTCAAAACAAAGTACTGTTCATCAATTAGACATGTTTCTTTTGGATCTGAAAAGCTGCTTGCCCACATTAAAGTGCCTGGGTCAAAATGACCCCCAACATCATATTTGTATTCAAACTGTGCACAGACATCCCACTACACATCAGAGTGTCCAGATTTTACACACCAGTTCATGACCCTAGATGAGGAAAAGTCAATAAATTTCATGAAGAAAAAGAAAGGAAATTCAGTGGTTTGGTCAACAAAAAAACTGAAATGGGTCAAATTGACCCTTAACATAATATAAGGGTGAGGAGATATAAATATTTTCCAAGGTTTTTAAACATCTCGTGGAGCAAGCCAACAGGGAGACAACAAATGTGCAAAAAGGTGCTCTGGTCAGACGAGACAAGAATTGGGCTAAATGTAAAAGGTTATTTTTGGCGTGAAGGTACCAGTGCGCATCACCCTGAAAACATGTCAAACATTTTGGTGGCAGCGTTAAAGTCTTGCGCTGCTTTTAGTCAGCAGGGACTGGCAAGATATACTTGATGGAAAGCTTGATGGAGCCAAATACAGGGCCATTTTGGCAGAAATCCTGTTGGGGTTTTCAAAAGAACTGAGACTGGGACAAATGTTTACCTTCCAACAAGACAATGGCCCTCATTAACAAATAAATAAAGGAATGTTTATACTCTGCGCGCATGTTGGCCATATACGCAAAACCAACGTCGGATTCACGACACGCACTTAACCGCAAATTTATTTTGTACAGGTGAAACCCAAAACCAAAAACGAGCAGTTTAACAAATCAATCTAAAAGGCAACACCTGAGCCCCTTTTAGGTTACAGTTGGTTCCTGCTAATAATCAACACGAGGCACATCGGATTATAGGGTGCACTGTCGGCTTTTGAGAAAATTTAATGCCTTTTTAGGTGCGCCTTATTGTGCGAAAAATACGGTACATCAACTTCAAATACATTACATGCTTGGAGAACAGATTTAGAAGTAGATAGAATTTACAATGAGTGGCAAATGGCTTGTTTAAAAGCCCAAAAGCATGAAATTAACACAAGATTAAAATTACTTCAATATAAATGGTAAATGTGGGTTTACATAACACCTGTGAAACTCAATAGTATCTTCCCGAATGTTCCTTATACTTCTGTTAAGGGTCATCAGAAAGGCACTCTGACAAACTGTCTTTGGGAATGGCCAAGGATTCATGACTTCTGGGGAATGTATTAAATTGTCTGTCAGAGATTGTCAGGATATCAATCACATTGACTCCCAAAAGATATGTCTCCTTGGAATGTACCCCAGAGACTTTGGTAAATCTAAAGAGATAAAAATGATTGACTTGGGACTTCTTCCTGCAAGACCAATGATCGCCTTTTGTTGGGAAAAATGTAGAGCCGCTATTACTTCAAATGCGGAAAAAGGAAATGTTGATGTGTCTTGGACTATATTGTAAGGGGCAAACTGGAAAGGTTTGTGGCTATTTGGGACTCATTCATGTCAGTTTTTGGAAAATAAAAACACACAAGTAGAGAATGTAAAAATAGTCATTCTTAATGTATCCTACCTCCTTTGTGTGCGTGCGTGTTTGCGATGTATAAGAGGGCAGTAAGGTAAAACTTAATGGGGCAAGCAAATCTACTTTTGACAATTGTTTCATATGGCCTTTATCTGTCTGTTTTGTCTAGCTGTCATCCGACCAATTTTCTACAGCACCATAAATAAGTGGTTAGCATAACTGCCTAAAAATTCGGATATTTAAAATGTGAATTTTGGGTGCTTTGGTTTCCTCCTACATTCCAAAACCATGCATACTATTACAAATTCATAGGACCAAAAACGTTTTTTTAAAAAACAAAAAAAAGAAGTGATTTTATGTATATATTTTTGTCATCATGAGCAAATTTGTTATTGAAGTGATCCAAAATTAATTAAAAGTAATCAAGTGATAGCATTTCAATGATATGGTGCTTGGATTACACTTTTTAACAAGTAACTAGTAACTGTATTGGAATAAATTTTCAAGGTAACCCTGCTAGCACAAAATGTATAATAACACACACACACACACGCACAAACACACATTTATTTGTTTTTTCTTCCCTACACCCCCGTCGGCGACTGCAGACTCATCACAAGTGGACTGGTTTGGCACTCCCGATTTAAAGGTGTACCATTTATCTTACCGTTCCAGGCAGAAGCAGAGATCCAAGTGGATGCGGTGACCCCCGGGCAGAAAGTCGTGCTTCTTGATGACCTTCTAGCAACTGGAGGTGAGATGTTCTATTTGGTGTGGAAGCTATTTCAGCAATCGCTTTTTGCGGGGCAACATTTTTCAAAATGCATTCAGGTCCAGTTTTCCCACTTTTTCACACCACTGTATATCATTTTGTCCTGGGATTAAAGAACATTTATTTCTGGGCTATCATGTAACATTCCTGGATCATACTTTCTGAAAACTACCCAAATGTCTTATTTTGATTCAACACAAAGATAATCCGTATGCTTTCACGAAGGACTACAACGCTGCTGTTGAGAGGCTGAAATTCCAAGTATTTGTCCACTTTAAATTAGACTGGTTCTCAAAACGATTAATTGATTCTTAAAACTATGATCGATCAAGATGAGCTTTTTGGGATTAATCGTTGCATCTCTACAGCATTTTGAAAAATGTGCTGTCAGTATCCCTTTTTATCCTGTGTCACCCCTCAGTATTTCACCAACCTCCTCCAGATCACCAGACCCACCTGTTCTCTTAGGTAGGGGGTCGGCAACCCGCAGCTCCAGAGCCGCATGCGGCTTCTTAGCGCCGCCCTAGTGGCTCCCTAGAGCTTTTTCAAAAATGTTCGAAAATGGAAAAAGATGGGGGAGGGAAATATATTTTTTTTGTTTTAAAATGTTTTTTGTAGGAGGAAAAACATGACACAAACATTCTGAATGCTTTACAATGCTGTAAAAATGTGTAGAAGAAATATTACATTTCAACGTTTCTGTCAACAAAGATTTGCGTCATAGCCTGCAACACGTTTCTATTAGCAGAGCGGGATGCCAGGCAGGTGGCTGCTGCTGCAAAAAAAAAAACAAACAAAAAAAAAAACCACCGTTTCATGTACAATTCACCGAGGGTACTGGCTACGTGTAAAGAATGAGAATGTGGAGGGCTGAGAGAAGCATTTTAAAACGGTACACGTGAGCTACGATAGTGAACACGCTGCAAAAGTGCATCCCATGCCTCCGCGTCAGGTCTCGACGAAGGTAGGTAAGCGCGTGCGGTAACAGGTTGATCGCGGTAGGTTCGTTGATCGAAAAGTAGATTGTCGGTCAAAAAAGGTTGGGGCACCCCTGCTCGACAGGATGCATTGCAGGGGAAAAAAACATTTAATCATGAAGGCTCATTGTGTATTTCGTAGCCAACTTAGTCATTTTGATAGTCGGCTAATATAGCTCACATAGATACATACAGCATGAGTTTCCTTCGTTATAAGGCCTTTATTTATTTATTTATTTATTTTGCGGCTCCAGACAAATTTGGGTTTTTCTTTTTGGGGTCCAATATGGCTCTTTCAATATTTTGGGTTGCCGACCCCTGTCTTCGGTCATTCCACGCTCTACAATCTATTTCACCTCCCGTCTGTCTGATCAGCACGGCTTCTTCATTCAGCTGCTCATCCCCAAACCTTGGAATGCTGTCAGAGAGGGAAATTAGGAACTTGGACTCTGTCATCCCGTTTAATCATGACTCAAAAGAAACTATTTTAAACATGCATCTTATTTACAACTAGTTTGGTTTTAACTACCATATTTTCCGCACAAGAAGGCACTTTGGAGTATAATGCGCATCTCCGATGAAAAGCCTATTTTAAAACTGTTTAGAGGGGGCGCACCGCAACAAACATGCTACAATAGTGGCTGCGTTTGCATTATGCATCCAATAGATGGAGCAACGCTAAAGACAATGCAATACAATGCAGCTTTATTTACGTAGCGCATAGGTGTCAGACTCAGGTCCTGGAGGGCCGCTGTCCTGCATGTTTTCCAAGTCTCCCTGTTGCAACACACCTGATTCAAATGAACAGGTTCAATGTCAGGTTTCCGCAGAGCTTGCTGGTGATCTGATCATTTCAATCAGGTGTGTTGCAACAGGGAGACTTGGAAAACATGCAGGACAGCGGCCCTCCAGGACCTGAGTTTGACACCCCTGACGTAGCGCTTTCACAACTGCTGCAGCTGTAACAAAGCACTTGACAGAACATTCCAAGTGCTGTGTCGAAGAAATCAGAGCATTGATCCATATCGAAGGCGCATGGGATTTTAAGGCGCACTAATGGCTTTTGATAGTGCGGAAAAGATGGTAGTTGTATCTTGTGTGAGTCATGCAGTGATAATTTTACACTTTACCCCCAGCGAGTCCCAGGGACTCGCTGATCAGAAAAGTATGAATCCTATTATGCATTTAGAGAGTCCCAAATTTCGAATTCTGAAATGGTGTACTTCTTCAATTGCATATGACAATAACACAAACAACAACATTACACACAATTATAAACAAATGCTGCAAAAATTTAAATAATTCAGTAGCAGGCCTGAGGATTTTGGAAATTCACGGTAACCGTTTTTCGGTTCCGTCGGATTACCCAATGGGAAACCACGGTAACTAATTTTGGCTTCCGTAAACATTCATCATGGGAACCCATTTTTCTATTTTGACTGATATTCATAATCAAGAATTCTGAAACTCAAAAGTATAATGTTTCAAGGGTAAATGTTTGAAAACTATCCATGAACACTGAACATTACATCAGCAGCTGTGTACTCCAGGTCTATTCCAAAAAATAAATGGATCTAAATATGGTGTACTCATATGGCATCATGAATACAGCATACCACAAAATCAGAGTATTTTTTCCAATCTCACACTGCAGAGATTAATTTACTGGTAAGTATTGATGTGTCTTGACATCCTCTTCCCAAGACGATGCATGTGTAGTCTACTATCAATTTGACGAAAGAATCTAACACACGTCGTCATTAGTTCTACCAACCAATTATAGAATAACCAATACTGTTTCATAATATTTTTCATAGCGACTAGCCTACAAATCTAATGACCAACTTGCCTCGTAATCGTGCCTCTCGTCGTATCTCGCTCTCGTGTTCTGTGCATACGTCACAAGTGAGTTTAGTGATACGCCCTTCGAATGATTCATACGAAAAATCAGACTGGCATTCCCATTTCTTAAATGTCGTCATTACATGGATGGCAATTTTCCGCGGATACGCGGAAATCCGCCGTTTTATTTCTTAAATTGATCATTTTTGTGAATCGTCTAAATCCGTTGAGAAAATTTTAGTGGGGGGCAGGTACCTTATCGTCGAGTTGTCACGAGCTCTCCCGACCAGTCTTTCCATCTTCCGATTGTAAACAGCCCTGCAATTGGACGTGTATGAAAGCTTCAACTAATCAGATCAATGGAAACATTATTTGCTGCGGAAGTCTTAGCTCGATTGTATACGGCCCAGCGATTGGTTAACTACAAGCGATTGGACCAATCAAATTGCATGTAACATATTTTTTTACCTGATTCATGGCGGCCTGTTCGTCTCGCAAATTCATTGTTCTGGGATCGTTTTGAGCGG